TTTTTTTTTTTTTTTTTTTTTTTTTTTTTTTTTTTTTTTTTTTTTTTTTTTTTTTTTTTTTTTTTTTTTTTTTTTTTTTTGTAGAAATTAAGTGTTTTTAAAAAAAAAAAAATGTGTACAGAGGTGACTTGGAAATTCAAGGTCAAGATGGATAAGGGTATTTTCCAGATGATCTCGTGCGGAAACTCGCACCGAAGTTTTCGTGGTCATCTCTCTGTCATCTCCCTCGTTTGTCTTCGTCTTCCACGTTCAATCGCCTCATCATTTTCAGGCCTCGACTAAATTTTTGTTGTTCGGTTCCAATTCTTCAAAACTGGAAGAGGCACCGCCCCGCACCGTCATGGCCCTCCGACGACCACCGCCCCAATTTCAACCACCAGTTTGATCCTTATGTTCAATACCCCAATCACCATCCCGGACACCCTTTTGGCCAGCCCAATTATCCCCCACAGTACTCGCATCATCCGCCACACCGCCGCAGCACCAGCCTCCGTTCCAGCACCCGCCACCGCACCAACAACCGTATCAGCACCAGCAGAATAACTGGAACCATCCGGAGTTCCACAATCATCCCCCGGATTATCGTCGATGAGTGAGGGGTTTGGAAACGGCGGTTTGAGGCCGAATTGTGGGAATCAGAATGCAAATTTGGGGCGTAAAAGGCCTAGAATCCATTCCGACAGAACGGTTCCTGCAGGTATAATTGTTTGATGAAACATGAAACGTAGAAAATAGCTTCTTTATATTTTACACTAATATAGAACGTGGAATGTATCTTGCACTTCTAATCCTAATTGAGCTAATTACCTGTCGTAGCTGAGCTTAAAATTCCCAGCTCAACGATGAACTGAACTTAAAGATTTCTCTTATAGATTGTAGAAATTGTAGCTCACATTGTTTTCCTTATTGGACTTTTTTCAATTTAGAAGTTTTTCTTTGGCACTCTTAATTCATCAAAAGCTACTTTCAGCCAATTATCTTTCTTCAAGTATTCCAAGACTTTTAAGTTATAAGTCAAGATCTACTCTTAAGAACATCATAAGACTCTTTCTACTGTCTAACATTTAACATGAGACACAGGGAAACTTTTTAGTTCATCAACTATCTGATATTGCCTTTCTTTGGAGCAATTTGTTTAGAATGAATGTCATTGAGATATATATATTTCAGATCATGCTGAGGCTAGTGGCCTCGTGAGATTGTATGTTGCACAAGTTCCCCGAACAGGAACCGAAGAAGCTGTAAGTTTTAATTTCCACAGTTTGCCAATTCATATAACTTTGTAGGCAAGTAGTTCTTTGGGAAGGAAGATTGATGATCTTATCTCTTGTCATTGATCATAACTGAAAAATATTAAAAAATTTGTTTCAGATTCGTCCTTTGTTTGAAGTCCATGGAGATATTGTCAAGATTGTAATATTAAGGGATAAGACAACTGGTCAACAGAAAGGTCTTTTGTTTGTTTTAAATTTAATTCCATTTAATCCTTCTGCCGTTTAACGGGTTGATTAGAGTATCTATATGCTCACTTCTGATCTTCATACTTAGGGGTACAATTATGTGGAATTGTCATGTTTTGGTTTGTTTACAATACTTTTGCACGGAGTGTTAGCGAAAACTGAGTCTGGTGACGACCTTGCCTTTTGGAAATGAGGAAGCAGGACACTCTGAATAACACAATATATCCTGACAAGTACTTCGAGTTGATTCCAAAGTGAAGCTTCCCCTTGTCAATGCAAACTCTAATTTATTGGATCACTATCATCTTATTCCTTCTTGATTTCTCAGAAACACTTATTAATTCCTGTTTATTTATTTATTTATGTTTAAGTTGACTTTATCACGCATCTTGGATATCATCTTTAATCGAAGTTCTATGTCTGAAATATCAGTTCTAAAAAACAGCTTCGGTATATATGAATAATCTTTTATTGTTAAGATCCAAATGGATTCTGGTTACTGCATCTGGCTTTATGCTGTCGTTCATAAAAATAATATTAAAGCAGATCTATGATTTCCTCTTCAGGTAGTTGCTTTGTGAAATACGCTACCTCGGTTGAAGCAGACAGGGCAATCAGTGCTTTGGACAATCAGTATACTTTTCCTGGAGTGAGTTATTTTTTATAGCCGATTGACGAACATATTATATGAAACACTTTTGCTTTTATTTTGAAAGTATGTTTCCGATCAAAATAAATCAATAAATGACTAATGAGTCACTATTGCTGTTTCTTATAATATGTAGGTAACTCAATTGATGTCATAATAACTTTTCTTATTATTCTTTTTATAACAGGAACTGACACCTATGAATGTGAAATATGCTGATAGTGAAAGAGACCGCCTTGGTAAGTTTCTGGCATTTCTGACTTCCCGTTGCATCACTTCGACGTATTTCTTCTTTATCTGTGCTGTATTATTTGCATCTTAGCAAGGCTATTCACTTTGCAAAGCGAGCATTGTTGTCTACTTGGTTCTTGCATTCTATGTTTTGAGCATTGCACGACCAAGGTGCACATGATTCTGATTGTTTCCCATAAGAGGCAACCCCTTAATCAATTACCTCATCACTTGGCTCTTTTCAATATTTTTTTTTTTTATGTTTTATGTAGGGAGCCCCTTAATAATTCAATTATCATCACCAACTCTCCTGAACTTTGTATGCTTCCCCTCCCCTGAGTCCGCTACCTCTCAACTTGAATGTTCATTTCTTTAAGGGTGGTGAACCAGAATGAGTAGTTCTATCAATGTCTTGATGCTATGCTCTAGCCTGCTGCCGATGATATCATCTGTTTCCCCGTATGAAAGTGACAAACCCTCTAGATGGATATCTCTTGCACTGCTGCGACATGAGCTAACAATAATTAGTTTGTTAAATCATGGCGTTAGGCGTTTGTGTTTCATAAATGTGTCAAAAAAACATTTTGACCATACATACGTTTGCATGATATGCAGATATAATATAGGTTATTTGGCGTGATAACTATTGTTTTATGTTTTTTGGTCTTGTTGGCTGTGTCAATTTTCAATCGTTAAACATCTCTCTCTCTCAACAGAGGCAACAACATTTCAGGCAGTCCGAGATTCAGTCATCCTCCACTGTTTAGGTATATTGTGTACTCGGTTCCTTTTGTCTAATTTGATAACATAAATTGTTTTCTTATTGGTGTAACCTTTTGTGGACCTGAGTCTTCTCTTGGTCCTCCTGCTGGAGGATGTTTTCCTAATAATTCATATCCTGGACAACAAAATTCTACAATTTTAGGACTACCAAGGAATGCTTCACAAGCGACATCCCATGCCCCTTTGGCTCCTAATGCCATACAGAAACCACAACCCCCCCAAATACAAGAACCTCATCATCTTTTGCTCAAATTTCATCTCAACCAATGCAAGAAACACAGAAAGTTTGTCAGCCTCCAATGCAGACTGATTTTTCTAAGATGCAGAATCAGGAGCGTTGTCAACAGCCCTGGTAAGATTCATATCTGCAGCAGAATTTACAGGTTCATGAGAATACGGTATGAAGGTGATCTGAAATATAAAATCCTTGTAGGAGCTGTAAAAATAAATTGAAGGTAAAGATTATGCCATGATTGACATCCTAAAAGGCTGAAAACCTGACTGCGGAAAATTACTGAAGTGGTCATTAATGTCATATTGTCATGGTAACTTGTGTGTGTTCTCATTTATGTCTTTGTGCAGCCTCCTAGTGCACGTGGCGTTCAAACCTCTAGTGGTACTCCCAAACCACCTCGGAGGCGTCCAAGCTCTCGGGTAGAAGTTCCTTTGGAGTGTGATTGGAGTGAACACAGCTGCCCAGACGGTTTCAAATACTATTATAACTGTATCACCTAACCTATGAAAGTCTGGTAAGCTTTATGTCTTCATCCATCCGCCTTTCCACGGTTGTTTCCTATTTTGTGGTGCAATTTATGATAGATCCCTTTGAAAATTGGTCCTTAGTGGGAGAAACCAGAGGAGTTTGTCTTGTTTGAGCAACAATTGAAGCAGGAAAAGCTTAAAAAATCGAACCATCAGCTTCATTCTTCATTAGCAGGTCTCTCATCTCCAGAAGTGCTGCCTCAGCCAAATCTCTTGAGTCAAAAACTTGAAGTCCAATCTTCCTCAGCTGTACGAGTTAGTATTCATTCATACATATACATTTACATACATACATTTGCCCTTGCATTCACTATAACTGTTCCAGCTATATTTTGTCATGTCCAAAATCACTCTGAAATAGGATTTTAATCATTCAAAATCAGTTTTGATGGTATGAAAATCGTGTTTAAAAGTTCAAAATCAAGCATCAAATTGGTTGGAATGATTAAAAACATGATTCGAAGTGATATTTAATCATTTGAAAATCACTCTCAAACGAGAATGCAATTTCTGTTCTCTCTAATTCTTTAATATGCTCAATTTCTGCAGGAGTTGGATTGTATGCTGACTTCAATCCAAAGCAAGTCCTGTTGTAATTCCAGCCTGTGTTTAACAATGTTGTCTAAGTTATTAGGAAGGTTAATTAAGAGAGTTCATCATGTTGGCAACGAACATTGACCCTTTAATGTCTAGTCATTACAATGTGAATTAGGATTGTAACTGAGACTACATGTTAGCTGCTCGACTCGCAACTTAGACGTTTGGATTGCTCGTGTAAAGCTGGTGTTCCTTGTAGTCTATCAACTATTTATCCTGCAAACTCTTGGTGTAGTATATGGATCACCAAAAAGTATTTTGTTCCTCTCTCCAACCGATGTGGGATCTCACATGTACGAGATTAAAGGATATCATAAATTTAGTGTACTTGAGATATGCATCGAACTTCTGTCGATAAGTTGAGAGTATTCATTAGGTCAACTTGCTCTGTATATATCTTTTTATTAAGACGTTTTCAAATTTGGTTAATCATAGTTTAGTGGTCTGCAGGTGCCTACAATAGTAGACAGACAATTGGGTATGGAGGTTGGTTCCCATCAACTGTTATGGAGTAATTTGTAATAAGAATTTAATTCCTGCATTTTTTTTTTTTTTTTGTGAAAATATTTTAAAGTCATTTAATTATGGAACACATATATGTAATACATTCATTGCCACGATTGATTGAGATTTAATTCTTGGTTTCTTCAATTTCTGTTTTAAAAAATTTATAAAAAAAAAAGATGAAAAGTTAGGATTAAGTTTTGAATTTTGTTTGGGCGCCTCCATCTCAGGCTAAATTTATGGAGTTTTGATGGGCAGTAAAAGTACAGCAGAGACTGTGAAAAGAATATTTACCCTTTTTGATGTACCAAATCCCAAAGTTTTCACTCTCATAACTTTCATATGTCCGTTCATATTTCCTCAAAGTTATGGAAATCTTTTTTTAAGATGCGCATTTTAAAATTGTGAGACGGGTAGCAGGTTAATGCAGATAACACTTAAGTTTAGACAGGCATCAAAGCGATGTACCACAAATAGTAGCGACTAAAAGTGAAATGTTATCTAAGGCAGGTTCAAAATTTTACCTCAATTTTTGTAATGAAACGCAATAATATTCTCTGCTTTGCTTTGCTAATGAGAGACTTAGTTGGACATCAACAAAAATTGAACCTGAAAATGATTAATGGGGTTTTTGTTTTTGTTGTTCTAACCTCTTTTCTATGAACAACACAACTCACTACTTGCCTTACCTAAAATGCAAACTAAACACCACTTTTTGAACTTCAACTAATATTATATTATTGAATATTCACTCCTGTTTGAGCATGTGGGCAGGAATCACATCTTGAAGCAGCCCGTGATCTACCAGAAATGTAGCATTTGGGTTGCACAACCGTTTCTGCTGCAGCATTCCGGCCGCCGCCTTCCTTGCTCCTATGAGGTTGTTCATGTTGTAATTCGCTTCTAAATGCTGGGAATTCAAGAACGCCGGGTTTTGTGTGTACTCATCACACATCGCTCCAATAATGTCGCCATCTGTTTGTAACAAAAATAAAAATAAAAAATTAATTCTTTCAAAATTTAAAAAAGTCATTTCAAATTTCCTCATCTAAAATATTCAAACTTTTTTTTTTTTAGCAAACATTATTTAATGTTTAGTTCTCCCTATTACTCCCTGATTAGTGTGTTCTCATAATCCACCTCTTTTCGTGTCTTGTATGGAATCTCACAATCCACCCCTTCGAACACAGAATGGAATCTCATAATTCATTCTCTTCAGGGTCCAGCATTTTCGTTGATACTCTTTTGAAGCTTAAAACTTTTCTCCAATCGACGTGGGACCTCCTTCCTAATCTATACATTCAGGGTTTAGAGTCCTTGCTGGCACACTGCATCGTGTTCACTCCCTTCGGGTTCAGCCTTCTCGCTGGCACATTGTCCAATGTCTAGCTTGATATTTGTAACGGCCCAAGTCTATCAATAACATATATTATATCTTCCTTGAAGTCCCTTTTGGACTTCCCCTCAAATTTTTAAGACACTTAAGTTTTCATGTTTTGTTATACGGCGGAATTTGAAATAATTGAAAATTTGAAGGATTGAAACCAACCATGATTGTTGTTGGTAGGTGGAAGGCAGGGGATGGGTGGAAGATGGATGCAGGGTGGAGTGGATGGTGGGGGTGGAAGAAGGATTGGGGTTGGGTGAGTGTGTTGGCCTTCGTAGGTGGTGACCAGGATGGTTGGATCATTGGAACATCGCTCCACTCTCTTCTTCACATTGCATGTTGGAGTGGTACACCGATAATAGCTCCTAACAACAACATAAATTTATGGATAATTATTCAAGAAATAAACAAAATATATATATACATACCTGGGAAAAGGGCTGTTTTTGACAGCTTTTTGGCCGTACTTCCTCCATCGATACCCATCTTCTAGATGATCCACTTCACTCTTCGTCATGAATGCAAATCTTCCCTCCTTCTCTCTCTTCTCCTTCTTCTTCTTCACCTTTTTGTTCAATCTTCTCAAACACCAACCAAATGGTTAGGATCGCACAACAATGAATAACACAAACACAAACTAATAAAATTAAATTGAATACTAAAAAAAATAGTGAACAAGAGAAAAAAAAAACAAACTTTTTAGTGGGATTTTGTTGTTGTTGTTGTTGTGGGTTGTCGTGGACGGCGGTGGGGTTGTAGTTAACGGCATCGGTAGAGGCGGAAGAGACGGAGGAGGAACAATTGGGGGTGGCCGGAGGATTTAAAACGTGGGAAGAATAGCCCTTGAATTCATGATTCTTAAGACCAAGCAGCTCCAGGAAGGCAACAGAACATTTTTCACCATCTGGGAAATCGAAGAATCCGTTTGATCTCATTTCATCGGAAAATGGGAAAATCCCGCCGCCGCCGCCGCTTGTGCTAGTATCCTCCGACTTGATAATCTCTTCCTTTTTCTTCTTCTTGTCCTCCTCCATAGCCGAACGCTGCAACCCTTTGTCCAAGTTTTGTTTTTTTTGGTTGAATTTTCACTTTTATCTCTCTAGAAACTTGCAGTTTAAGAGAGAGAAAAATAGGGTTTGTACAATGAAGAGAGAGAATCAAAAGGAATTTGTAGGTCATCAGTTCGTACGGACATGACACGAATTTCCTTCCATAATATTTCGTTAAAAAAATATAATTTTAAAATTAAAATTCTGATTCTAATATTTTTTATTACAAAAAAGCGTTATAATTTCAATTTCATAATATAATTTTTGAAGATTCTTAATTTATTATCTGTAACATTGACTCAATAAAATTAAATCTTTTTTTTTTTTGTAAAATGGATTTATTTATATAATAAATAGTAAATTACTTGACCGGGAACCGGCTGATTTGTGAATTGTGAATGCGTTGTTACCATACTCTTTACACGTGCGGATACTAGGCTAAAAGTAGACCTCGCACGTGTATTCCGATCAATAGAATAAATATGGCCCTTTCTCTCTCTCTCTCTCTCTCTCCTCTCTATCCTTTTTCACTTTTGCTTTATGAATTTTCTTTTATTTTTTATTTAATTAATTTCTTTTACAAACCCATTTTTCTTTGCATTCAAATTGTGTTCACACTTCATTTTCCCTGCTTTTCACACAAATATTTAATATTTTTTTCCTTTATAGTATTTCATTTTTAAATTATAAAATAACTTAATTAATAAATTAATATTAACTATTTAATATAAAATAAACTATTTTATTAAAAACAAGATTTATTAGATACAAGTTCGCCCTTACAAAATAAATTTTAAATTCTTATAAATAATATTTTTGTTATATTTCTTCCATTTATTCATTATAGACATTCAAAAATATCTAACATAACAACCAAAATTTAAAACCCTAATTACAACAAGATTATCATATTTATCTAAAACTAACACATTAATTTGTATTTTTTTTTTTTTTTTTTTTGAGGCATTTGATATTTATAGCTCAGCATGATGCATGTCACCCAATTAAGGTAATGTAAAGAATATATTCCTACATTGACTGAAGCACATGTAGGAATATATTTGTTTACACATACCCTCATCTTACATTACCTTTATAAATACTATCACATCTATATAATTAGTCGTGATATTTATGATAAGAGTACGTGAAATAATCGAGATAAAAAAAATACTATTTATAATCACTATTATAACTTCGTGGGTAGATGAAGATAAAAGAATTAAGAGTTACGTATATTTTTTTTAATAAATTGACATATTATATGTAAAATTAAAAAAATATTAAATATAAAAATTATATTTCTCTCTCTCACTCACTGCTGCGTCATCTTCTTCATCTAAAATTTGGTCTCCTCTTTTCCTCGTAATTTCCTTCTTCCCCATACCTTTTGGTCGGTTATTTATTTATTTATTATTATTATTATTATTATTTATTTATTCCTTTTTTGGGATAATTTTAAATGTGAACTTGCAAAAGTTGTGTCCTGTTTGCATTTGAGGTAATGCCTTGTTTTGGTTAAATATTATAATTATTATTATTATTTTTTTTTTTGTGCTTATTCTTCACATGAAATGATAATTTTATGCCTTTTGCATCCACGTCCCTCTTCTTTTTCAATATTAAATCCCATGCTCTCTTTTAGTCTTATGTTTTCTACTTTCAACCCTCACAACTTTTGTTATTCTGATTATGGCACCTATTAAATCAAAACAATTATGATATTTAAATTTTGAAACAAAAAAAAATATATATTAATTATTATAAAATATTTTTTAAAGAAAAAGATATGTGTTTTAATTGAAATAGTAAACAATAATAAAATTAAATTGAAAGATTTGTCATAATTAGCATTTAATTCCGCTCGTGGAATCAAACACAATGTCTAACAACCACATGATCATACGGTGGACCAGTCTCCATCAGATCCGCACATCCACGCTTCACAATTAACAAAAACGCCGTAGATCGTAACACGTGGAGCTCATGGGTCCCGTAACTTCATCACGTCCGTTAGATTTCTCACGAAATCAGTGGCCATCACGAGCCCACGTTCTTGTCAGATCTCGTATTGGACGGCACGTTTTAGGGGAAAACAATCATTTCATTTGCTCAATTTGTGTGAGCCGCCACACCGAAATATTTCTTTATTTTTTTACTTTATTATTTATTTTGTATATATATATATAAAATTGCCCATTCACGGGAAAAGCATAATTCCAACACAAATATTAAACATCTGTATAAAATAAATTACAAAGAAAAAATGCATGAAAAGCCACTTTCAATCTTCTAATAATCATATCCTAATCTTTTTATTATTATATTATATTTCAATAATTCAAATTTGCAAGCTTCACACGCATTCCAATAAAGTGTGTGACAAAATTAATTAATTCACTAAATTTAATTATATGTTCATAAGTTATATTAAAAAAAAAAAAAAAAAAAAAAAACTCATTAAGACTCATTTTTAAATTGAATAAAAATATTGTGTATAACGACCATGTGGCTTTCGTTTCGCGCCTCACAAATTTAAATAATAATAATAATAATATGATTAAATAAATATTTTATGTTGGTATAAGGCCAAATTGCA